CCCCCGCTCCCGCCGCTACCAGAAAGCGAGGGCGCCGCCAGCGGGGACCCAACGTCCACGCTCGGTCGCCCGCAACACTCGGTAGCGGCGCTGCGACCTGGGCCGGAAAACTGTCGTAAAAGGTGACAGCGGGCGCAGGCAAGGTTGCTCTCAGGGGGCAGACGGGGAACGCAGCTTCCGATTGGTGGATGGGCGGCAGGACCCGCCTCCCTGGGCTCGGCGGCGGGGCTGCTCGGAGCTTCGCGGTTTGCTCCCCGGCCCAGGGCCTTGGGGAACCCCTCCAGGGAAGACAATGGCGTGGACGAGCCTGAGGAAGTGCTGGGCAGCCGCACTCTGAATTTCCCTCCCTCCCAGAATCTCCATTTGCAGCTTATTTCTTTTTTATAGTGTGTTTCTTCATTGCATTACTTTTATTTTTTAGTATTACTTATCAGAAATTATGTTTTTAAGTATTTACTGTTGAAAGTATTACAAATGTCCCCTTTGTGTTTGCATTTTTTTTCCCATTGACCCCCGGCACCCCGGACCCGCCCCTCCCAGGCCTTCACCATTCTATTGTCTGTGCCTAAGGGCTATGCAAATATGCATATAAATTCCCTGGTTAATCACTCCCCTCCCACCCCCTCACCCCGCCTTCCCTCTGAAATTCTTCAGTTTGTTCGATGCTTCCAGGTCTCTGGCTTTATTTTATTCATCAGATTTTCTTTTTCATTAGATTTTACATTCAGCGATTTTTTAAAAAATTATTTTTATTGTTAAAAGTATTACAATGTCCCCCATTTCCTCCCCTTGCCCCCTTCCATCCTGCTTCCGCCCGCCTCCCCCAAGTCCCCCTTCCCTGCACTATTGTCTGTGTCCATGGGCCATGCATATATACATATAAGTTCTTCGGGTAATCTCTTCCCCTCCCTTGAACCTCCTCCCCTCTGAGATCTGTCAGTCTCTTCCATTTGTTCATGTCTCTGGACCTATTCTGTTCATCAGTTTATTTTGTTCATTAGATTCCACATGTAAGTGAGATCATGACGTTTAGTTTGTTTATAATTGTTAAGAGTAATGTTATCTTAAACATGTAATCATGAGGCCAAATGAATAGGTAGTAACCCGGAATAGCAAACTTGAAGCTGTTCCAGAAAGCCAAAGGGTGTTTCAGGGGTTGCTCGGTGTCATTATTTTATTTTATTTTTTCATCACTAAAAAGGACTTATTCAGGGGGAAAAAAAGGATTGCAGATTCTCATTCTTTTATTAAAATTTATTTATTTAAATATGTGACTGGACAATACCTTGTGTCAATGTTTGGGGTTTTGTTTTGTATAATGGGATTACCCCTTCAAAGACAGCTAATATTCTGATCATGTGATATCAAAATTCCCCACAACTAAAAAAATGCTATTTACAGTTCCTATTCACAGCTCTCTCCCTCTCCTAAAATAAAAAGCAGGGTGTGGTTTTGCCTTTACAGAACATCAGTTTCATATATCCCTACATAAATGCTTGAGAAGAGAAAAACAATGGAGACACTAATGGAAGTTTTACAATGCAATCTTTGGATGAGCAAAATAAGTTTGGAGTTTCTTCCCAAAGTATTAGAAATCTGTTTACATTGCAAGAAATTCTGCTTTGATGAGCTGGTTGGTTATTCGACAAGCATGCAAATGTATTGGCTGTGTTTTCCTCATCTGTCAAAAGATTCTGCATTTGTATCTCTCAGAGCTTTTCTAACCCTGAGATTTTTGTAAATGTAATGTATTGTCAACAAATGATTCAGCACTAAGACAGTAGAGTTCAGTGTACATCTTCCTTTCTTGCCTCTCTTTTATCTAGCTTTTACCCAACAACCACAATAGAAATAAGTGATGCATAAGACCTTGGACCAAATTGGCCTTCTGAAAAAAATTTATTATTAATGTGTTGTTGTTTTTTTGTATATACAAACTATGGCATGCAGCTTGCTTGAGGAACAGGTTACCATACAGAAGCCCAGCCCCACGGAGCCAGGGATGGGCGATGCAGGGGGCACATTAAGTGGAGATAGCTCTCTTTTTTGGAGGCAAATCAAACTAGATGTTCTACCTGGCTGTGTCACTTACTAGTTGTATGACCCAGACAAGTTATTTTTAACCCTGACTTTTCTCATTTGTAAAACAAGGGCAATGATGACTACCTTGCTGAATTTTTGTGAGGACAGAGATAAATAAAAGTGTGTCCTGCACATAATTATACCTCGGTGTGTGGCTGTTGTTATCAGGAGGGAAGTCAGAGTACAGGTGGTTGTGCAGCGGCCTTTCCGATTCTCACGACACCTTGACTCATGGATGTAAATCTGGTATTCTCTTCCCTACCCACAAAACGGGGGACTAGCAGGCACAAGAGAAAGGAACCAAGCACATCTGCTCAATTTTTCCTCTCACATTTGTCAATCAGGTAAGTGAGGAATAAATGAGAAGCAAGAAGGCATAGCCGGAGTGTTCTTGCACTGTGGTTTCAAATAGTTTTTGGTCATGATTCTTTATAAGAAGTTTATGTTACATAATGACTCAGGGAATGAATATATACTTGAACATACTCATAAACACACACATGCACATATAAGTACACAATGAATTGAACATGTACTTAAATGGAATTTAATTGAAAGTAATGTTTTTGAGGCAACATTTTTTCTTCATGAAATGCATGCTGGTCTTTTCTATTTCTTAAAAAAAAAAAAATGCTGAGAAACCCATTAAATTCACAGCCTAATTGGTTATGATCTGAAGTTTGGAAGTCATCTCTCCATAAAAATCCACACTTGGAAATATGATGCTGGGCAAATAAGAGTTGGTATTGTTCCCTAAAAACTATGTGTCAGCCATTGTGCTAAATGCTTTATGTAGATGATTTAAATTCACTCAGTGACAGTGATACTTATTTCTGTTTTGCAGATGATGACATTTTGTTAGGTACACTGTTTTCTCTTCCATTTCCCTTCTCTACCGATTCCCATTCTGCTCTGTGTCCCAAATGAGCACATGAAGCTAGGAGCACGACCTTAGTGAGCTCTCTCTGCCTTCTGCCTGGGGATTCATTTTGTCTGAGGTCAGAAGGGAGGAGGAGTGTGAGTTCATGGTCTTCATTTCTCCATTTTTCTTTCTGGTGGTTGTCCCTGAAGAATCCAGTTCCTGATGTGTGTGTGTGTGTGTGTGTGTGTGTTGTTCAGGTAATTACTACCACTCCTTGCTCACTCAGGTCTAAGGATAGTACCGACTCCATTGGCTCTCTCTGCCTTGCTAGACACAGAACACTTAACCGTAATTTGTTAGTTTCCTTCAATCTTGTCCACATTTTTGTAAATAGTCCCTTTGTTAAAGTCTCAGCCATTCCACTTGGGTATGCCATCTGTTTCCAGCATGGATTTTGACTGTTGTTAGAGGCAACTGAAATAATTCAAGTAGGAGACGATGGTAGCTATGCCAGGCCAGCTCAGCCAAGGGTTTGGTGAGCCTGAGGGGTGGGGGCGAGGTGCGTGAAGGATGTAGAAAAGACAGACAAAGAGAATAAGCTGGGTCTAGGTCAGCCGTGGGCAAACTACGCCCGTTCGGCTGTTCTATCCGCCCGCGGAGCTGAAAGAGCGGAGGGTTCTCTTGCTCTCCCTTCCGCTCCTTCACCAGCAGCAGTGTTAACATGGCAACATCGGAAACGCGGCCGCAGCTCCTTCTTCTGAGTCCAGTTTAAAAACCCATGTGGCCCTCGAGTCAAAAAGTTTGCCCACCACTGGTCTAGGTGGATCTTCCTGCGCCTGGCTGAGGCCACAGAGAGAGATCCAGAGACAAGTTGAGCCTTTATATTATAGTCAGAGGTAAACAAGGTAGTGGTCACCATAGTTACACTGTCTTGTGAGTTTCACTTGTTTGGCAGCACTTGCTGTACCTCCCACAGCCCATTAGCTACTCAGATAAGATCTAGGGAGCCTCATAAGGTAAAGCCTAATTGTTCTAAGAGGGCTGTGCCCTCTAAGCTGGGACTTGTTTGTGGCTTTGCCAACAGGTCAATCTGAGGCTTAACCCTATAGCAGCTCCCTACAGTAGCAGTGGATGTGGAAAGAAATGCTTATATTTTGAAGGAATAGCTGATAGAATTTGCTGGTGGGTGAGATGTAATGTGTGAGAAAAAGAAAGGATTCAAGAATGACTCCAAAGCTATAGCTTGAGTAGCTGGAAGGATTGGATTGCCATTTAATGGGACTGGAAAGAATTGAGAAAGAGAAAGTTAGAGGTGGGAACTTTTTCATGTTAAGTTTGAAATACC